GAAGAGATCGAGATAATCCACCAAGGATGTATGACCTTTCTGAGGTTGTATGTCGGAGCCTTTACTCGACGACGTTAACTTGTGTGGAAGAGATTGGGAGAATCCACCAATGATGTAAGACCTTTCCGAGGTTGTATGTCGGAGCCTTTGCTCGACGACGATAATATGTATAGAAGAGGTCGAGGGAATCCACCAAGGATGTAAGACCTATCCGAGGTTGTATGTCGGAGCCTTTGCTCGACGATGTTAACCTGTGTGGAAGAGATCGAGAGAATCCACCAATGATGTAAGACCTATCCGAGGTTGTATGTCAGAGCCTTTGCTCGACGACGTTAACCTGTATGGAAGAGGTTGAGAGAATCCACCAAGGATGTGAGACCTTTCCAAGGTTGTATGTCAGAGCCCTGCTCGATGACGTTAACCTGTGCTGAAGAGGTCGAGAGAATCCACCAAGGATGTGAGACATTTCCAAGGTTGTATGTCGGAGCCTTTACTCGACGACGTTAACCTGTATGGAAGAGGTCGAGAGAATCCATCAAGGATGTGAGACCTTTCTGAGGTTGTATGTCAGAGCCCTGCTCGATGATTTTAACCTATGTGGAAGAGGTCGAGAGAATCCACCAAGGATGTGAGACCTTTCCGAGGTTATATGTCGGTGCCTTTGCTCGACGACGTTAACCTGTGTGGATAAGGTCGAGAGAATCCACCAAGGATGTGAGACCTTTCCGATGTTGTATGTGGAGCCTTTGCTCGACGACGCTAACCTGTGTGGAAGAGGTCGAATCAAATCCCCCTGGGATTGATTTTGCCTTGATTGGGAGGGGGCGGACGCCGCGTGTATCCCGAATCAAATGTGAGGAAATGTCTATCTTTAGACCGTTACTGTCTTTTTGAGATCGATATTAAGATCTTGCCCAAGAAGTAGAAGTCCAGTAAGAGACTATACGTGGCTTGAAATTTATCGGAATCTTCCTTGCATTTTTAGGGAGTTTCCTTATATACCATCTTGATTTTGAAGGGATTTTCTTGACTAAAATCGTAGTCAATGTTGCCCCCCAGTCGAAATTTGATCTCCATGAAAATGATGCATTAATAGCAGTAGAATGATCTTTTGAGGTTGGAGCCAAAATTGCCCCCAGTTGGGAACCACGTTCCCACAGACAGCGCCAAACTGTTGCGTCCAGGTGTATTCGCGGCTGTAGAAAAATATAAAGTTTATCGTCTTAGTGTTGTACAAAAATCCGGCATGCAATCAGATAAGAGAGAGGGTATAGCATTTATGAGACACCAAAATTTTTACGTGGAAAACCCCTGAAATAGGGGGAAAAAACCACGGGGCCTAACCTAGTTTGAATGAATCCACTAGTATTGCAGTCGATTACAAATGAGGCCCTTCCTTGGGAGAAGGCCTTAGCTTGATGTACATTTTATAGAGTACATTACATGATGTGAATACAAAGAGTTACTATTGACGTATTCGTTTGGTCGGGAGGACCGTAGTCGGTGAGCGACGGAGGTCGGAGGGCTTGTAGTTGGTGGGCGACGTAAGTCAGGAGGACCTTAGTCGGCTGGAGATGGAGGTCGGAATGACTGTAGTCGGCGGGCAACTTAAGTCAGGAGGACCGTAGTAGACGGGCGACAAAGGTTGGAAAGATTGTAGTAGGTTGGCGACGGAGGTCAGAAGGACTGTGTTAGGTAGATGTCCAACAATGGAAAGAAATCCATCTTCGCATAAACGTCCAGCGAAGTCCGATAACCGGCAGAAGTCCGGCGCAGGGTAGAAACTTGGCGAAGAGTGAAGGCCCGACGTCGGGTAGAAGTCCGACGTCTGTTGGTGGTAGAGAAGAAATCCGGCTTCACTTGGGCAGAGTTTCGGCGTTAGGAGGGAACTCTACTGTAAATTGGGAAGAATTTCTGCATCCCATGGAAGTTAGGCAGAATTCTAGCGTTCTCCCGAATATCCGGCAGAGTTCCGGCGTCTTCAGGCGGCGGGAAGAGCTCCGGCGGTGGTCGAGGAGGAGCTTCTTCCTTCTCCTCCTTCTTCTCTTCTCCTTCTCTCTCTTCACTTGAGTCCCCTTTGTGTAGAATGAGGGCTCTATTTATAGTTTTTCTGGAGTGGCATTGCCCGTAAATAGGCGTGAGATCATGGGCGAATTGAGAGTGGTTTGAATGGACGGCCGATATCGAATCCTTTGATTATGCACCGTTTGTTGGACATTTGAAGGCCTTAATGATGTCGGAATTCGGTGATCTTGGGCTCGTTGGATTCGTCTCATCGAGCCGCTCGATTCGAGTATAAGCTCGTTAAAATCGGAGACCGTTTGGTAACTCAAATTGTGGTTTGAACCTTTCAACAGCTCTTTGGGTCCTTGATTTGAACCCATTTGGACTCGGATTGGGTCAAATTTGGTGTCGTTGGATTCGTATTTCCGATATGCTCAGTTTGACTGTAAGCTCGCTGAAATCGGAGTTCATATGCTCTCGAATTTAGTTTTTGAAGTTTCCGAACTGATTTTGCATCGAGATTTGTGCCCAATCAAGATAATTTTGTCATTAAGTATCAATCTTAATTCATCTAAATGTTAAATAAAAAATATATATATTTTTTTGCAGACTCTAGGTAAATGTTCAGTATGTGCTCATGAATATTTTAATGACGCTGTGCCTCCGTGAAGTTACTTGAATTCGATGAATGAGTTTCTTGAAACAATAATTGCGTTATAGAGTTCGATATCTTTTCATAGGAAAATATTGTTCTTACATCAATATATTCCACTCTGATGCTTTTATTTAATTTATACACTCAGAAAGAAAGGTAATAAAAGACAAGATTTTATGTTAATTTAGAAGATACTCAAAACCATCTATGACAAATCATGCACTTCACTTACCCTCTCTTAGTTGCGAATATGAAAAGCAGATACTGCTGAATCTGCTCAAATTCAAATATTGGCCAATTGCTAGTCTCCAATTATTATTATTATTAACAACGGCCTAACCCTCACTGCACAATTCGTTCAAGGTCATCGGAGACCGCCTTCATTCTAGGCCGAACCTCTGGATCAATTTCAGTGCAGACGAGCGCCACATGGAATGCTGCCACCACCTCTTTAGTTTGAACCTCAGTCAATAGCATCGGATCTACCATCTCCGCTAGAGGGCAGGCTTTGCCGAACATCTTTTGCACCCACTTCACCAGCTCTGTCGAAGATGAGGCTTCTCCAGCAATGGTAGTTACATGTGGTAGGATGGTCTCGGGCTGGCGGCCAGTTAGCAGCTCAAGGAGCACTATGCCGAAGGAGTAGACATCCCATTTTTGGGTTGGGAGGGCAAATGGTAAGCGAGCTTCGGGGGCTCGATAAGAGCCACTTCTGTCAGAAGCTGAGCAGGTTGTTGCATCAGATGAAGGGAGGGCGGCACCAATGAAACCTCCCATGCTTGAGCTTGATGGCGAAATTGCGCTTATGGTGGGATCATTCACGTTGGAAGTTGTTGTGGAGGCAATGGAGATGAGGCGAGTCAGGCCAAAATCAGAAATGAAGGGATTATAATTAATATCGAGTAGGATGTTGGAGGGCTTGATGTCACCATGGATAAACTTCTTTGGGCTGCAATCATGCAAATAGGCTAGGCCACGAGCTACACCCTTTGCAATGCGGAGCCGATTTGACCATGATAGGCTCGATTGACCAGATCTTCCTGTTAAGAAAATACAAATCCAAGCATGAGTCAATGAGTTACCAGAAAAATTTTGAAATATATTAAAAATCATCTCTAAACAATTTTATATAGTGATCGATAATAGAGGAATAATATCAGAATCAATGATAATTACTTGGAGGCAGTTGCTACATATATTAATAAGCTGCTAGAATGCTTTCTAGTATCTTACTTTCATATTATTGAACGGATAAAAATAAGAGCATGATGTTACTCACAGCATCACCCCTTTGCATGCCATGTATTTTAACCAACACATGGTTAAAACTTCAGCGTAAGTGATGAACTACTTTGATACTTAACCTTTTAGAACTCCATTATGTACATCTACTTTAAAACGAAAAACCAACAAAATTGTCTACTGGCCAAATCCCAAGATTTCGTTCAAGACATCAACAAAAATCATGTGGCTTAGTCTTGAAGCATGCCGAAACATTAGTTGCTGATAATACCTGAAAATCAGGTACTATCTTTAAGTAATAGAAATATTTAATACTCATTCGGCTAAGAGAAGAGTTTGAGCGATTTAATAGATTTAACATAAAAAACTCAAGAAAATGAAACAATAGTAAAACCTAATCTAAGTTAAAATAATTCTATTAGTTTTTATCATATGTTACAAATGATGACCTTTCTATAATTGGGAAAGGGTCTAATTAAATATTCTAAACAAAACATTACACAGTGGTAGAGCCAAAAACATATTCCGAGGAGCCTAAACACTAATATAAACTTTATACAAACTTTCCCTTAACTTTTTCATCCGGGCTTAGACCAGCACAAATAGTTTTAAAGAAAAAAAAAGGAAAATTACAAACACTAATCATAATGAATTTGTCCAAGTTTACAAATCATTTGTAAATAAGATAAATAATGATTATGTTATATTAAAAGTAAAAAAGCAAAGTTATTATTCAAGATTTTTTGAGATTCTGCATTTATATTCAACTTATATAACATTTATTTGTTTATTGATTTGATTTTGAAATTAACATAACAAAGTGAAAGAAGCCATAGTTACCATCTACTAGGATTTTCTACACTATTTTTTTTTTATAGATTGGTATACGAAGTCGTGGATATTGCTTAGTTCACCGTCATGATATCGATTGGACGGTTGGATTTATTGGTAGGCTTCAACATATCGTGCTTTATTGATCGGTGGCCATAACGTTATAGTTGTTTTCATCCAAACCATGAAGTCTCCCCCCCCCCCCCCAAAAAAAAAAAAAAAATCGCCTGTGATAGTACACAATGTATTATGTGATAAAATTTTAAAGCGCACAATGGCAAAAGAGTTATCTTCAAAAGATCATTTATTGTTTATTTTGTCATTTTCCATTCGGAGGAGGAGATAAAAAACAAAGAAAAAGGGTCATACCAATGTTAACAATGAATATACTCTTTTTGGGTAATGTCATGATTCAATCTTAGTGATAGTAGATGTCTAAATTAGCGGGTGTTAATGTAGCCAAACGGTTTTGGTTAGAGAGCCATAGTCAGCTAATAGTGGTGAAAGGAAAGTGGTTGAGAGACATTAGTTGGAGGATCATAGTCAAGTGATGACGATCAGAAAATCACAATCAAGCAAAGATAATCAAATGACCATAATTAGGTTTATGCAGTTAAGGGATCATAATCTGTCAATAATTGTTGAAAGACTATAGTCAGGAAATAGAGGTTAAGAAAACATAGTCAGGTGATGATAGCTAAAAGATTTTACCAAAGCGATGGTGGCCAAATGAACCAAAGTTAGCAATAGTGGTCATATATCCAAGGTCAGTGGTGATGGTTTGAGAACCAAAGTCAGTGATGATTATTGGAGAACACAACAATTGTTGGAGAATCATAAATAAGCAATGTAGTTGAAGGGCCATTATTGACGATAAGACAATCTTCGCCCATCTTATAGGAAAATAAGAGCCTAATTCAGAGGATAGGGCCTTCTCCACTATTGATGATCTTTAGACTCTTATGGATTATATTTCACCTCTTTTATATAGGAAAATTTGAGCTTATATTAGAGGATTGAGCCTTTTCCACTATCACTAATGATAGTTCTAAATGATAGTCTTCACCCTTTTTATAAAGGAAGACTAGAGTGTACATTAATAGAGTAGCTTTTACCATTATTGACGGTCATTAAACTCCAATAGAGCAATCGACACCTCTAGTACAGAGGAAAATCAGAGTTTGCATCAAAGGATTGAGCCTTTACTATTTTTAATAGTCTTTAAACTCCTATAATATAGTTTTTATTGCTATTATGGAGGAAATCTAGAGCTTGCATCAAAGGAGTAGGCTTTTATTATGCATGTTTGAAAACTTCTAAAAAGTAAATAATTAAAATAAAAATTAAGAATTAAAAAAAGGGGTGGGGCGCTATAGCGCACCCCTTATGCATGAATAGCTCGACTGCCGACACAAGCAATCCTTTTTGAACATTTTTTGGGTTCTTGGGATAATGTTATGTTTTTGACTTATTTTAAGCCTTTTCAGAGCTAACGTGGCCTCTACAATCATTTTCAAGCAATCTTATCAGTTATTCACCAAAAATTTCTACCATTTTTGCTCTCATAGATGCCTTGAATTTATGGAATGCTAAAATTATAATTTTAACATTGCAATTAATTCACGACCATGATGAGAGGTCCATGTTGGCGTATAGGGAGCAGCTACATCTTGTAATTTTTTTTTTAATTATAATTTTGACTCTTTAACATTAGGAAGGCTCTTACACCTATTTTTGAACTCTATATATTTTGAAGCCTAAAAATACAGGGCAATTGATCTGCGAGGAAAAAAAAGAAGATTGATTTGGTATGAATTTTGATACATATTTGAATTGGAAACATTTAAAGTTAGATTTAGGACCATCCGAACTCCAATTTTATGAAGGTTATAATCAAAATGAATGTATCGATGACATGACCTAACGAAATCAAAATTGGTCCAATATGAGCCCAAATCCCAAATTAATGGCTTAACACATATTTGAAAGTTTTAGAAAATTTATTAAATAATCAAATATTCTCTAAATATGACATACTTATGGTTGAATTGATTAACTCGATGAGTAAAATCCAAACAACCAAAGATCACTTGATTTCAACACCATTTAGGAAGATAAATGCTAAATAAATAATATATGATCAAAGGAATCAATAAAAATCGTCCAATTGAGTGCTCCAGATTTGCTTCACATTTCCTCTATATTTGTGGGGCAAGCTACTCCCAAAAATCTATAAAGAGGTCCCCACTCTTCACATGAGGGAGGAGGACACTTTAACCCTTATCTAGAGAAGGTAAGAACTCCAAGACTTGAACAATCTCAGAGTTCCACCAAAGCACCACTGTCGGTGAATCCTCGCAGCCCGACAGTCACTATTAGAATTGTCCTTGGCCACCACTACACCTCCTCCTTGTCGCCATCACAGGGCTTTAACCACCATTGTAAGAATTGCCAATGACCGGCCTCCACCATTGAACCTCCTTTGCCAATCGACACCATTGGATCCCTGCCTGAACATCATCAGACCTTTGCTTGGCCGCCGTTACCAAACTTTTTCCCACCAACTACTGTAGTAAGACTTCCATTGTATGACAGTCGCTCAATCGCCATTGTCAAAACTTTAACCGGTCAATCACTACCCTAAAACCACCATAGCCGAATTACACTCCTTCTAATCACTATCACCCCTTAGACCCTAATCAAAGAATCCATTGCACAACTATGATCCCTTGACCGCCATCGCCCGGCTATGGTTCCTCTGACCTCCATCATCCAACTATAGTCCTTTTGACCATAGTCGCTTAACTACGATCTCTATGACCTTTGTCGCCTGACCATAATTCATTTAACCTCTATCACTTGACTACAGTCCTCTGACATTTGTCGCCCAACCTCAATCTTGCTGAGCAAAATAAACATGCCAATGATCTTTTAGGAATAGCTCTCACGACAATGAATATTCTTCCACCTCCAATCAAATAATGTGTTATATATGATATATATTTGTTACATTATTCAAATGTAGAATAATTTCAATTGGACGAAGCTATATTATTTTTCCTTCTTTTCAGACTTTTCACATAAAAATTCTAATGTCACTTATCACTCTTACATCTCTCTCTTAGGTGTATGCATGCCATATATTTTTTTGCAAAGCTCAAACATTATACTTCATTCCTTTCTACCTACGCAAATATTCCGACAAGTGAAAAATTTAAGATTAAATTTATTTAAAATTTTAAAATAAAATTATGGCTTAGTATTAGATGACTGTAAATGGAATAGCACTATACTCATTTAAGCTAACCTGATACAATCCATGGCTAAAAAATACGGGCGATCGAACCTCACATTTCTCTCCCTTAGACCTGTCAATATTGGACCCGACCTGGAATTTTCGGGTTTGGGTTGACCCGAACCCGGAGCAGGTCGGGTTCGGGTCCGAAAAATCGACCCGTTTGCAAAAACGGGTCGGGTTCGGGTTGACCTGACGGGTTGCCGGGTCAACCCGAAAACCCGTTTAATTTAAAATTTTTTTATTCCCGCCCTTGCCCCTTGCCCGCTGCCCCAGGCCACCAGCCCGAGCTGCCCGCTGCCCCAGGCCCCCAGCCCGAGTTGCCCGCCTGCCCGCGCCAGTCTGCTCTCCTGAGCGGTGCGACCCGCGTCACGTCGCGGTGCGACTCGCGTCTCGTCGCACAGCCTGCGCGCCTGCGCGGCATCTCCCGCAGTCCCGTGTCACGGCTGCCCCGCCTCCGGCGCTTGAGCCTCAGCCTCAGTTCCGCGGCCGACGTGCACGCCAGTTCCGCGCCTCAGCCGCGTCAGTTCCGGCGTCCGCGCCTCAGCCGCGTCCGCGTCACTTCCGGCGTCCGCGTCACTTCCGGCAATTCCACGGGTCGGGTCGGGTTCAACCCGTAACCCGAAATTGACAGGTCTACTCTCCCTATATGCAACGACATGATTCTATTAATCTAGGGAACAACAATTGTTTTCCTCACCAAGCCCAAAGGCAGTCGTTAGTTAATCTCAGCATCGCTTTTTTTCCAAACAGATCTAAATGAAACCAAGTCAGAAAAAAAAAAAAACGACAAAGCCAGTGCAGCGGCCATTATCAATTCCGACTTCTTAAATAAGCAACATAATGCGTTTCTGAATACAACAAGGCAAATAAGACTGACCTCGGAGAGCGGCGGCGAGGTTGCCGTTGGAGATATAATCGGAGATAAGAAGTTTCTCGTCCTGAGCCCAGTAGAATGCGCGGAGCCTCACCAAGTTGGGGTGCCTAGCCTTAGATATGGTCTGAGCCTCTGCGGCGAACTCCTTGTACCGCTGCCCTCCTCCTTCCCCTAGCCTTCGCACCGCCACTGGCACTCCGTAGCCAAGCACAACCTTGTAGACGATACCCCCCATCCTGCCCTTCCCAAGGACGTAGGCTGAAGCCCTAAGTAGCTCGTCGAGCTCGAACTCGAATCCTTTGTCCATGGACACCAGTCTACCCTCCCCTGCCTCGTTATCGGCCGATTTGACAGATTCCTCGTTGCCGCCCCCATCTTCCTCCGATGATCCTTCTTCGCCTCTTCTACAGCAATGCCCGCATCGCCAATGATCAATAAAATATCCCTCTCCGCCAAGATTGCTCGTCCCCGCGCAGCTGCATCCCTTCTCCCTCTCTCTGTCCCTCACCTTCCAGTAAACGTACACCAGAATTATTCCAATAATCGCTATCCCGGCGGCGTCCGCCATCGAGATTAGCACGATCAGCCCGGGACGAAGCCCTTTACTCCTCGCCGGCGGAAATTCCGTCTCCGTGTTCGTTTCCTCTCCCCCTGGAGGCGCGGTGGCCACGGGGCTCGTGCCGTCAGAACAGGGAATTTGCAGCGGGAACCCACATAGGCCGGGGTTATTGAGAAAAGCCGTGGGGCTCTGGTTCGATAGCGACCCACTCTGTGGGATCTCTCCGGATAAGTTATTGTAGCGGAGATCCAGGCTCACTGCCGGCGGAAGGCTGCCAAGTGATTCGGGTATGGGACCGGAGAAACGGTTGTGAGAGAGATTTAGCTTGCCAGAGAGGGAACTGAGGTCGCCGATGTCGGGGGGCAAGGGCCCTTCGAAGATGTTGGATGAAATGTCGAGCTGCATAAGATTGGCCAACTGAGGCCAGATCCCAGCGGGAATTGTACCAGATAGCCTGTTCCCGGAGAGGGAGAGACGCTGGAGCTGGTGGCAGCTTCGGAGATCCGGGGGAAGCTGGCCAGAGAGGGAATTACGGGAAAGGTCGAGATTCTGCAAGCGCGGTGGGTCACAGATGAAGGACGGAATGGGACCGGTGAGGTTGTTGTCGTAGAGGAAGAGGGAATGGAGCGAAGTAGCGTTGAAGAGCTGAGAGGGAATTGAGCCCGAAAGGAGGTTCCCGTGGAGGTTAAGGCGGCGGAGGAAGACGAGTGAACCGAGCTCAGATGGAATGTAGCCGGAGAGGTTCTTATCAGAGACAGCAATAGCTACCACGCGGTTGGGGTTGGTGGACGACGAGAGGTTGGAGCAGGAGACGCCTGGCCAGTGGCAAGGATCATCATCATCCTCGGCCCATGAACTGAGGGCAGACGAGGGATCGCCGGAGACGGCTGACTTGAAGGCGAGTAGGGCGAGCCCGTCCGGTGAGAGGGCGGCGGCGGGGGTGTTAAGGCCATCGAGAATTAGCGTTGATATGATTGCTATGAGTGGAAAGATTGGCAATGAGAATGGGGATGAGGAGAGACGGCACATCTACTGCTAGTTGCTCTTCTGCTCTGTGCGATGGGATGCCGTCAGTTATGGGGAAGGAGGAAGGAGATGGGGGGAAATGAATATTGAATAGGTGAAGGGCTGGGTTAAGATGTTCCTTCGCTTTTTTTTTTTTGTTATTGTGGTACTGTTCGAACTGATCATTCACTAATTGTTATCAAGTACGATTAATTCTCTTCAAGAAAAAAAAAAAAAACATTTAGTATTTTGAATTATTTGGATAAAATTTTTCCAATTAATATTACAATCTTCGATTCAAAGAATTTTTCCAAATAAGTGCTAATTAAAATACTGCTCTTCTAATCATTTATAAATCTTTTGAAACACAAGCATGATGAAACAAATAAAGAAAATTGAGAAATCTGATTTAAAAACCTAAAAATACTTGGAATTGGAGATATATGCTTTTATATTTGTTTTTTTTCTTTTTTTTTTTAAGATATGCAAATTGCATTAATGCATAAAAAAAGATACAATATACTAAGTGATTGACAATCTATCATAATCCTTCCTAATCAAGTCAACAATACTTGAAGGAAGCTCACTAACTACAAAAGTGTAAAAAAAATAAATCACCTAAAAGGTCATAATGTGAACAAAAATCAACCACATTATTACTATCTCTAGAGGCAAATTGAAAATTTACATTATTGACAACTTCTAAAAAAGAAAAATCCAAACTTTGAATTCCTTTCTTCAATCTCTCATTCTTCATAATTGACTTCTTCAACAAATTGATAATATTGATATTATCTCCCTCAATAACAATGTCTTTTTTGTCACTCATCCACTCTTGAATATTATTTTTGAAATAAAAAATAACAATCAGCTCCAAATAATAAATATCCCAATGCAATAACTTTTACCATAATCAAGTAAAATTTTTTGTTTGTGATGCCTTACACCATCAATTCCTGTCAGGTTAGATTGAAGAGGAGATGCATCTACATTCAATTTGATCCAATTTGTAGTAGTGGGATACCAATTTTTAAACAGCATATTATGCTGGTTACTATCTCAGCTTTGATGAACAGGATACACTTGAGGTTGAATTGACTGAGAAAAATATATGTTATTCAATTAATAAAGGAGATGGAATCGGTTTACCATGCTTGCTAAGATTTCTTGCTTTCCAATTCTGGTAGACAGCCGAAATGTATATACGAACAATTCCTTGATTTGAAATTGCAATCTTTTCCATATTGTTCCAGCAATGAAAAAAAACTATTGAATTTAGGTAGAGAAAAACCCCACTTATTAAACATATCAATCAACTCCAACTTTTTACAATAAACTAAAATATGATGGATATCTTCAACTTCATCACAATTTCTCGGGCATTCAATTTTATCATTCAATCTTCTATAATGCAACTAGGAATTCGTAGAAAGAGCATTATTTGCAAGCCTCCACCAGAATAAAATTTCTCTAAGGCTGACTATCAGATTTTTCAGCAATTTTGTATTAATTCCCATTTCTTGATGAGCCTTAAGTGAAGCTTCAAAAGCCATAGTAGTAATTGGCTTTCCAGAATTTGAAAATAAAAGTTCCAGTTCATCCATAATAGAATCTAATGTAATTGGAATATTCCAAATATTTTTTATCATCTCCTTAGAAAAAAAACATCTTTAACTTATCAAGATCCCTATTTCCTTTTTCATCAAACAGAAAAGATAGAAATTTGTTTTGAAGGTCCATCATATTACAAAAAGAAGGCCATTTATTTAAACTTCTATCAAGAAGCCAAATATCTTGAGTAATATTTATGTTATTACCATTGCAAACCTTCCATCTGATAATAGGATGAAGAAAATGACCACCTTCCTTTATAATTCACCAAGTCGGAGATGAACTCCTTTTAATTTCTTCTTTCCATATGTCATTCCCATATTTAGCTTTTAATCATTCGGTTAAATAAAGAATCTTGATTTTGAATGAAGTTCAAAGCAATCCGAGCTCTTAAAGATTCTTGTCTTTGAGCAGCACCTTGAATTCCAAATCCACCTAAATTAGTAGGAGTACATAGTGAAAGTTCGAGTAGGTTGTTAGACCTAGCAGAACTGTCCAGAGGCTAATCAAGAGAGGGGGTGAATTGATAATTTAAAACTTCTCTTGAATTTTATAAAATTGATTTAAGATATTTTATACAATGATAAATTTTCACAAAATATTTTTCAACCACAATAATTTAAAGTGCATAAAATAAAAATGTTGTAAAACTAAAAAAATAGAAGAACACCAAATTTTATAGTGGTTCGGTCCAACTAGGCATACGTCCACTCACTGAAGACTCATTCTTCAGGTATTACACTAAATTAAGAGTGACAAAAAAATCAAGAGTGACCCTCCTTTTGCTCCCATAGTAAGGCGGAGTAGTCCTTACAAAACCTCTGTTTCACTAACCCGGTGTGACAAAGTATTGACGTCCTTTCTCACCCTCCTAATGATGACAGAGTACTAACATCCTTTCTTACCCTCCTGGCGACGGTAGAGTACCAACATCCTTTCTCATTCTCATGGTGACGGCAGTGTACCAACATCCATTCTCACCCTCCTGGTGACGGTAGAGTACCAATGTCCTTTCTCACCCTCCTCATGATAGTAAAGTACTAACATCTTTTCTCACCCTCCTGGCAATGGCAGAGTACCGTAATCTTTTTTAAAAATTTTCTCTCAAGAGCCTTCAAGGAAGTAAGGAGAATCTCGAAGAATAAATAAGAGAACCTTACCTTTGGGAAACATTGTAAATCCCCTCACAAATCTTCTCAAAAGATCTCTCACTATTCACATCTAATACTCTCTCCCAAGCACACATTTTTTTTCCACTCTCAAAAGAAATTTGCAGCAGGTATGATATGTCAGTTTTTAGGAAACTTATATATAAAGACATGAAAAAATGTATAGAAAACTGAAAATTTCAACTTAAACCTACTTAGATCATATAATATGATCGCACTTCATTTGTACGAATAGTTCAAAAATCCATGTACGAACCTAATTTTATACTCTATCAGCATCGTGCTGTACAAACAGGTCAAAACTGAACATATTCATTAGGTACAATTATGTACAAACCCATTTTGTACACTATGAGTCGTTTATACAAACCATAAATCATACAATATGAACTGTTAAATCAAGTCATGCTTCATTTGGTACAAATAAGGACGACTCCATTTCATACTATGGATGTCATATGTACGAACCCCACTTTGTATAGTACAAATAGTTCAAAAAATGATGTGTTCACATGGGACGAACTAGTACGCACCCATTTTGTACTTTGGATGTCGTCTGTATGAACCCAACTTCGTACAATACAAATAATTCAAAAAATGACGTGTTTTTAAGGGATGAACTGGTACATAACCATTTTGTACTATAGACATCATCTATGCAAACTCAACTTCGTACAGTACAAATAAAATTTTTGAGGCAGGATTTGATTAACTTTATTTTGGAGAAACTACCATGGCAAACCGTTTAGTACGCTTTAAAAATTATACAATACAATTAGTTTTAAAAAATTAAAGTTTTAACCCAGTCCCCAGTATATGTGTGCATGATTATCCAATTACAATAACACTCTCTCAGACTCAAGAAAAATTAAAAAAATTACACACTTCATTACAGAAAACCATAATCTAATCTTCCTTGAAGTCTTCGGAAGTCTAGAATATGATTTCCCTAAAATATTAGTACACACAAATAACACAAAGAGTATATATCCAATGTATGTTAGGAGAAATATTAATCATAAAAATAATATTTTTGTATCATCAAAAAATCATATGAGAATAATATTTTTGTATCATGAAAAATTACATGATATAAAACTTAATCTTGAAATCTAAGTTGCAAAAATTTCTCCCTTTCTTATGATGGTAAAATATATATTGTTTGAGTTAACACTAAGGGAAATTTTTCTCCTAAGCTTCCCTCAATGAATGATAAATTTAAAACAAGGGATTCCAATGAAAATCAAAATAATAAAAAATAAAAAATATACACAAGAAAACATATACAATACACATTACACACATCACATAAATCTATAAAAATAAGCATACACACATCAAACAATACCTAATGGAACACAACAAAACACACACATTATACAATACACACATAATATAAATCCACAAAATTAATCATAAACACATCAAATAATACCTAATGAAACACAATAAAACACAAAACAATACACACATAAATCATTACCTAATGAAACATAACAAAATACACACAATACACACATAAAAAAATAATGCACACATCAAACAACAATACACACATCAAACAATAACTAATGACTCCCCCTTTTGACAACAACAAAAAGGGAAGCACCACTTGAAAAAATAAGTTTTTATTGATAAATAAAATAGATGATGAAGAAGAAGATTTTAAACTATTTGCAAAGACAACATTAATGTCCTAATAAAAAAAGGAAAGCCTCAAATTTTAAATCAAAGAATAATTAATATAAGAAAATTCAACCAAGTTCATAGTTCATTTTAGACACACAATAGGAAATGCGCCATTATCGCTAGAAAATCCGACGCACTATTTTGTGATGGTAATACCGGCACTTTTACAGGCAAAAGTTTCGCCGGTAAATTAACGACGCATTATCTAGTAGAAGTTGCATCGATGATTCACTGGTGCACATTCCGTTAGCTTTTCGTCAGCATTTCTTAGTTTTTTTATGCATATTTCGCTAGTAACGACTGGCGGAATTACCAGTGCATATGTCGTTGGCTTACTTAAACTCGATGAATAATTTTTGGTGGCTCTTCCATCAGGTTAGCTACTGGCAGAGAACACACTAGAAATTGTGCTAGTTAAAGCCCTATTTTGGCCTCCACTGAACGAATTCTCTCATTTCTTTTTTTCTCACGTCAGACGACTGCTGCGTGTCTGAGAGCTGCGCTGATACCACAGAATCACCCCTCTCCTCGCTCAGTCCCAATACCCTGAAATTGACCCTCTCCTCGCTCAGTCTTGACACCGTTGAATTGCTCAAGTTCGCAAGGTGCCCCGACGTCCAACCAGTGAGCATTTCTTCGTTATGTCTGAGAGCTCCCCTGACTGAACCCTCACCGATTTTCACCAAAAGTAGCTTCGAACACCACCGAAAAGGGAATGTATTATCTCATCACCTT